CCCTGCTTCTTAAACTCTTCCCTTTCAAGAGCTCACCCAGTGGCCAATTCACAAGCATCTTGGAATCACTCTTGTTGGGATTGCAGTTGGGTGAAACTGATGCAATGCCATAATTTACTGGTATAATAATGTGCTCTCATTCCAGGTCCAGTCGTATCTGTTTAATAATTGAACCCCTACCCGGCAACTATACAACACTATCATACCTCTTCCTACTGGTAACTATAGCTCATCCTTACTCTACCCGAGTAAAAGAAGATTGGAATAAGGAACTTTTTGTTCTGTATAAGTATACAGATATAGGGTATAATAAAATAGTAAAGGTGTTAGGCGGAGACAACCTGATAGACTTCAGAGTTGTCTAGGCCGATCGAGATTCGTTTTTATAGATGGAGATTGTCTAGGAAGGCTCGGACTTCACTCGTTTCATTTATGACTACTAAGAGCGAAGTAAAGTAGGGTAAGGTAAAGTAAAATCGTAAGAACAATATTATATTGTTAAGGTCTCTTCTCCGTTGCTTGATAATGTCTAAAGCTTGGGAGGCACTTCAATATTTATATTCCACGTCTGAGTGTTCGCGGACTACATCTAACTAACATACAACCATGTACCTTTTTCAAATATAACTCGCAACGTCGGGTTTTCTTCCAAGGTGCGAACACCTGGAGACCCTGAAAATCATCACACCCTCTTTGATAATTATAATATGACTATTTGGAAGTCATGCTGTTTCCAATAGCAATTATCCGATGGTGAGAGTCTTTTTAGACAAATGGCCCAATTCTCAAGTCGAACTGTGTTGGCTCCAATCGTCTCCCTTGTCGACGAAATGATCAGTTTTGTCTGCGGGTTGCATCTGCGAAGATAGTTGTTATTACCAACTTTCTAGGTCATCTAACTTCAACTCTTCATAACTCCATACCCAACCGATAGATCTTTTCCGGAGGACTTCCTACTTACCTGCAGGAAGCCTTTCCATAGGGTTGGTAGATAACCCCTCGGTCGGTAACCCATGGTTGCCGTGGGTAATAGGATTCTGGTTACTGTCACCGGTTTGGGAGTCACCCCCTCAGTTGCAGTATGTACCGGAACCTAGTTGTAACACTCCTCGAACTCCATTGGGTTCGATAGTAGTATTCTCAGGAGTTCTAGACTCTTCTGGTTATCGTAGGGTGGATGTGAATGTATTGGTCTTTCATTAAGATCCTTTACTATTCATCATCATCTCTTTGCGCGAAAACGTCCTGTTACTTGCGGCCTATGCCAAAGATATCTCGTTCTTGAAGCCTAGTAACTTTCTAGGTAGTTGACGGATTTACTCCGTTATACTTCTCAGACCTAGCCGAAGGTCCCCTCTTATATATCCTGCGAACAGGATCCGGTCGGACGGATGGAGGTGACGTATATGGTATTATTCTAACACCTTCGATTCTGTGGTATAATACTCACAGGACGCAACTTAGATCGATATGTATGATGACGCGCGGGCCCCGTAAGGGGACCGGAGGGGGGTGTTGGAGACCTGATATTTCGATTTCGGGAGAGGTTACCCTACCTAGGGTGGTTCCTAGGTATCAGATCTCGGTATTCCTAACAAAAGGCTATTGGAATCTGCAAGGCTACTGTTCAAAAAGTAGTCACTAGAACCAAGACAAGAGGTGGAGATACCCATTTTGCTTCTAAGCAAGGCCAACCCACCAAGATTACCAATGCCAGAAGAAGAGCAGTAGAGGCTATTATTGATGCTGAGCCTCATTTAGCACTACGCGAAATTACTCAGAAGGCAAATATTGATCTTGGCAAGACCACTTTTGATAAAATTAATTCAGAAGCTGGTTTTAAGCTTCTAATACCAAGAAAAAAGTCTTTTTAGAGGAAAGGACAGATGGAGAAGAGAAAGGAGTTTTCTAGGAGAAGGAAAAACTGGAGAGGAGTATAGAATTGGGTGGTTTTTGTTGATGAAGCCACTATCATCTATGATCCAAATCGTGTTGGAAGAAAGATCAGGATAAGAGTTGGTGAAGAGCTGGAAGAAAAAAACTTGAAGCCTACCTTTATATTAGGAAGAACTAGCATTGGTGTCTATACTGTAATAATGAAGGGTGGGAGAACTAAGTTAATTCTTATGAGAAAGAGGAGGGAGGAGGAAAGGACTAGTAAAAGAGACAGACTTGGCCTTAATTCCTACCAATATGCAACTGAGATCCACCAGCCATACCTTATCCCTTTTATAGAAGATCTGGATAGACCATCTGACAACATCTACCTAGCTGCAGACAATGCTTCCTGGTATAGTGGTGAGGACAATCGAAAATTACAGGCAGACTGTAGTTACAAAAAACTCTCTTGGCCACACAGTTCTCTAGAACTCAATCCTATTGAGAATACCTGGGCACTACTCAAAAGAGCCCTCAGAAAGCGATTCTCCAGATTGGGAAGAAGGCCCCATAGTGCTGCTGAATTATTTTAGGCAGCAAAGGAGGAGTAGAATTTGATTCCCTAAGAGACATTGGATGCTTGGATAGAAAGAGTGCCTGACAGAATTCAGGCTGTTTTGGATGCAGATGGAGGTCATACAAAATAGTAATTGGATTTCTTTAAAGCTTAGGTCATGTACTTTTATCTATTCCTTAATTGGCTTTGTATCTTGATTTTTTGTATGATTGAATTCATTAAGTGTTGTGGTTGTGATTACCTTGCAGGAGTATTATTATTAAATGGACACGACTGTACAACCACCGCCCAGAAGGTCTTGGCACCCCCTCCACTGAGACCAAGGGTACAAGTATGAAAAACAATCAAAATAGAATGCTGCAAAGAAGATGAAACTTTAAGAAATACATAAATAGAAACTGGAAAAGCAGTAATTCCATCACCACTTCGTATGCACCCTTTTGGCCTTTAAAACCTCTGTAATGCGATCAGGCATCAAGTCCACCCAACGATCAAGAACCTTCTGAAGAATTTGGTTCCACTCCTCTTGAGCCACGTGCATGAGTTCTGCTTCGGTCTGAGGATGAGCAGCCCATTGATGGAAGTGCTTTTGTAGTTTTTGTTTCAGAGCATGCCATGCATTCTCAATAGGGTTGAGGTCGGGAGATGCAGCTGGCCAAGAAAGAATCTGGATATTACTTTCTGCAAGAAAGTACTGTATTTTCTGAGCCCTGTGTGGCCCAGAACTATCTTGCATGAAATGCAAACCCTGTAGTCCACCTTATAAATGCTCCTAAAAGGGAATGAGATGAGGATGTAGAACCTCATCACGATATTGCTATGCATTTAGACCACTGTGGTTATTTTTTCTTTTGTACTCATCTGGAGTTCGACAGCAAAGGAATATCAGTTCTGTACGACTTCCATGTATGTAGGCAGCCCAGAAGCTCACTTCAAAATGTCCGGAGTGAAAGGTTGATACGAGATATTGTGGCCAAAGGGCTGTTCCCCATTGCCGACATACTCTTAGTAGCCCATACTTCAGTCCTACCTCCACCTATACCTCATCACACCAAATAATCTTTCTCCATTCTTCCAGTCCCCACTCTTTTCTTTTCAGGCACCACCTTCTCCTCCTCTCTATCGCCTCCTTGCTTAACCAAAACTTCCGCTTCACACGAAAAACAGCAAACTTCAAGTCCTCAAGAGCTCTTTCCACCGCTCTTTTTCCTGTGTCTAGGGTTGCCTCCTGTGCAAGATCTTGAATTGAGGCTGCAGGATTCTTGAGCACAGCTCGTCCCAATTGCTGTAGTCCATGCTCGTCCAATTTTTGCCTAAAGCCCGGCTTTGGTAGATCGTAATAGGTTCTATGCTGCAGAAAGTGGCTCACCACATTTCGAATAGTACTTTTGTTTTTGCCCGTCTCAGTAGCAATCTGGGTCCAAGACTTTTGTTGTAACCATAAGCAAATAATATGGAACCTCCTCTCCGGATCTAGGTACTTTTTTGGAAGACGTGATGATGACATGGTGATTTGTGGTCTACTGAATCATCAAGGTCCCTAACGTTGTCACCTCAACTTCGAGTGGAGTGCCAAGATCTTCCGGGCGGTGGTTGTACAGTCGCACCTCATTATAAAGAACGCCAAGAGTTGGGGGGAGGTTTGTTCGTTATAACGAGGTTTTAGGGTGAATTCCTTATAGCGAGTACTGTTTGTATGGGAGCAGGGGTCTTGATTCCCGTACGATTCATTCGTAATGGCGAGGTTTCTCATACAAAGAGGTCCATTATAGCGAGGTGCGACTGTAATGCGTACGGTATTCGAGTAAAGGTACTCGAGTACCGGCACATGAGAAAGGGTTCAGAATACCACGGATTACAGGGGCATTTATTTAATATTATACAAGTACGAGTATCATACCATGGCATATAATACCATCAGTAGACTAGCTAAGCGCGGAGAAAATAAAGACGGTCCCCTTTACCCGAAACCCAGACCCCCCCATCGGGCGTTTTGATGTTTTCTGTCCAAGAGATGTCTCGGCTGATGCCCCTCAGGTGTTAGACCGCATACCCTCTACCCGATTACTAGAAAAAGAGGCTTAAGACTGTATGATAGTAAAAAAAAAAAGCCTCACTTGATATTAATTTCTGAGAGTTTTCTGCAATTTTTGTGTGATTTTTCTCGACTGAATTGTGACTATAAAGTGTCTTGAGAAAACTGCCTACTTTTAGAGCGTAGGTGAGGTCAAAGGGTTCGCCTTCTTTGGGACAGAACACGTCCAAAACCCCCAAAGGGGGATCTGAGTTTCGGGCACAGGGACCGTCTTTATTTCCCCCACCCCTACCATAGTATCATACATTCGGTCGCGCAGCCGAAGAAGAAAGGTTCTTGGCTAATGTCACTGTGCATATGGATCCCAGAACGGTGCGTTCGGGATTGTCGGGTCCATCCAAACCACATCGTATGATATGATAAACATTAGACTAGCAGACGAGGTTTTTACCCTCTGCACTTGGGGGGCAATCATGATTATTCGTTCCGCATTTTGAAATTTACATATACATAAAACCCATGGATAAAAAGGCAATGAAAGGGGAGAGAAATGAAATCCTGTTCATAGTGCCGCTACCTGATATACATACTTCTCTCCCCCAAAGGCACTCACTCTTTTTCTCATCCTTAGAAAGACCTTGATCTGCCCGCATCACCTGTTTGTGCTTCTGGCTTCTTGGCAACAGGGCTACCGTGGCTGTTTAATCGTTAGCTATTAAGTATGATGCTTTCGGAAGAACCGTGGGGAGCATACGCGAAGAACAAGATCTTAATTGCCAATGCCAACCCTGCATGCAGTGCAATAATCATAGCAAGAAGAAGGATCCTGGAGTTCGCATCAGTTGCGCTAACCACTGGGCGCCTATTTTCCAATATTTAGTACTTATGCCAGGAAGCAAGCAAAACGAGAGAACCCACATGTTGCGGAACAAGAATGAGGCCGAAACTCCGAATCCGATGCCCACAAACAAGTAGTTCAAGACTACATATATATTAGTACTAAGTGAGGCAAGCTACTGCGTTGAAGCTCTGAGGACTTACCAGTAATCGGAGACGCGGAAGCGATAGCGACCGGAACCCAAATCAGATTGGCGTATCCGTAGAGTGCAAGAAACTCTAAAAGGTTCGCAGATTCGCTCCCATACCATTTCAAAACGCCCCATAGTGCCACAGGAATAACGCCTAAGTTCATCAATCTCCGGAGCCCAGTTCAGTAAAACAGGTTCTAGACATACCCGTGTAGCCATACATAAGTCCAGCAGCACCTGTAGTAATCATCAGCACAGCCTCCAAACAAGATCGCTGAATCCAGACATACCAGAGAGCAAGCCAAAGTCGTACACATAAGGCTCATCTTTCGCCCTAGCAAAGTACTGCGCAATCGTTGAGCTGAGGAACAAGATCAAAACCACCGTAGTGGTAATCCAGAACGGGCCTATCCTCCAACCCAACCATTAGCTAACTGTCCACCACCGCTAGATACTTTGTGGCCATACCGTAAAGATCCGGATTATCGTCCAACACATCTAAAAAGTTCGCTCGGGGGAATAATGCTGCCCAGCACCTCTTCAGAACCTCGTTCGTATCGACGTCAAAGAACTGGGCATAAAAGTCCATGCTCCAGAGGAACCTCTTGCTGTTCGGGTCATTCCCGCGAGAACCGGAGGAGCCACCGAAGAAACCGCCCGTATCTATCAGAGTTAGCTAATGGCAGAATGAGTGCTGGATAAAGGGAACGAACTCGAAGCGCTGGTAGGTATCTTCCCGCTGGCTTGATCCTGATTGTAGTCTAGAAATTTAGCTACGCTGAAGCTCCCAGAGCTATTGGGGTTTCTTACTGGAAGGGTGGAACTCTAGGTCCGCAAGGTCTGTGTGTCCGAGATCGCCCTCATCGTCAACATCCACCACGACGTCGTATCCGTTGTTAGCCATCGCGATGTGCTAGGGGAATGCAGTTGGGTGAGGTTTGTGGCTGGTTATTAAACGGTCGGCTGGTCGTCTCTGAGGTAAGTTAACGGTAAGTGTATGGATGGAGAGTGGGAAACTTTTGAGGTTTGGTTTCAAGCTTGGTCTGACTGAAGCCGCGTGTCATGAATAGAGCCGCATAGGCGATAACTGATCCGCTTCTTCGCGCTTAAATGATTTTTTTCCAATAAACGCTGTCGCGCCGATCCTCCCCTGGCCAAGACCAGGAATGCAAGCCATAATAAATTCGGAGTTCACGCAGAGAGAATACCGCAAAATCAATCAACATATAGAGTTTTTTAAAGCTAAAATATTGTGCTTAGATCATGAATGCTCATCTTGACTCCCAACGACTTCAAAAGTTAATACTTCCACATATTCTGCACTACTCTCGTTTTTCTGTGGTATGCTAAGAAGGGTGTATCCATTCTCGCCACCCACCATTGAGCCATGGGCAGATTTACCCCAACTTATCGATGAATTCTCAAGCCCATGAACAGTCAATGAAAACCATCCCTTCCTATTCCCAACAGAAACAGACGATGCCAGTTTCCTATCCAAGGCCCATCAGAACTCAAACAAACATAGAAGACGAGAGACTCGGATACAACTCACTCAACAGCCTTCCAAACGCCCAGAATCCAACCCGCCGGGATCATCCCCCGAAACCGTACCCTGGTTAGACCTGCACCTGCCTCTCCTTCAAACTCGCCCTGATCGACGGCATAAGTGGATAGATAGGAGTCAATATTATCGCCTTCAATGACCCGATCGGCAGGACCCCAATTCGCCAGCGCTAGCCACTCATAGACATGCATCGCCCAATCCCTCCATACCTCCCGATTATATTCCGCCCCGAGACTTGTCCCCCCGCCCTGTGGCACCGACCCGGGCGGAGGATCGAAAGAAGGCACTTTAACCGGGCTTGACGAAGTTACCTCCGGGACTTGAACCTGTCGGGGAGCAGCTCCCAACGCTGCGAGTATTGGGCAATCTATAGGATTTTTCTGTTGGTCTAAATCGCAAAACAAGAAATCGACTTTCATATTGAGTTTATTCTGGAAACTCCAGACTACGCGGTCAAAGCCTTTCTTTCCATGGAGCATAGCTGGGTCACGGAGGTTTATTTCAACCACTAGACATGTTAGCACACGGTGGGTAACAGATGGACCGGGGTGTCTCACGATGTCGGTTATGCTTTTTTCTAGGGCCTGTATTCCCGAAGCGTGTGGGCTGCCCAGTTAAGCCCGTTTTTTCGTATGCTTCTTTCGTGAGTGAAAGGCGAAGTATCCCGTCGTTAAGCGAGAAGACATTGTCAATGTCGATTCGGCCTCTAGAGAGCATTATAACATTGCCTATCATTCTATCAGCAAAGGAGGGTGTTTTGCTAGCAAAGCACAAACCTGTCTTTATATACTTCGTAAGAAATTCAGCCTCTACTATCGCCGATAGAGGTATCGACATTCGATGACATAGTAGCGGTTTAGATAGCGTGGGTGACGATTCCAAGTCGTTAGATATAAGTTGGTAAAGATCGGTAGGAAGTAAGAGGTCAACAAGGTGATTGAAAGGATGTGGTAAGGTGGTCTTCTCTGGTGGTTTGTGCACAGATATATAGCATTTTGGTAATGGTGTCATTGTGTTGAAAGTTGGGAGAACAGGGGCGGTTGTTTGGCGCGACGAAGTCGTCTATACGTACGGTAACTTTTAAATGTCGTTTGGAACTGCGACCACGGCCGGAAAATTGGCCAATAGCGAGTCCCCAAGCCTGTTTACATAATCCAAACTGAACCACATCCCAGGACCGCATTCCATAGATATCCGGGTAGATAAACTACGTAGGTTACTGCTAAGTGGGAGGATTTGTTTTGCTTTTCTCCCTTATTTCTCCTCTCTATTGTGCTTTCAACTTATTTTTGCATGTATTAAATCGATTTCTCGTGACAAGATATACCATTTAACACCAATTTGAATAAGAGGCCAACAACTTATCTCCAATGGTGGTGATAGGTGCCGAATTCCCTGCATCACTGCCAGGAATATTAGTACTAAGCCAATACTGCTCGAGTAGAGGAGAGGTATTATTTCGTCACCAGATTTTTAAATTTGCCGGATAAGGGCACTCCATATATGCTGGGACACTTGGCACTACACAGGATAGCCTATCCGTGGGTTTATCCACTCGAATCGCTCGCTCCTGCACGGGTGTACCCATGGATAAAACTTGTTCATGTGTGCTCGAAAATTCCCTACTCTGGAGCTGCTTAGCCCTCTGAGAGTCATAGAAAAGCAAGAGAGCACCAAACCTTACCATAGGAGGCGATTACAGCGACACAGAACCTGGCCCGATCACACCATCCTCTACCGTACCAAGTGATCCTCCCTAAGAGTCTCTCGAAGGATCTCGACTTGCGGAGGGCTGCTTGATGCGCTATGCGTTTTTCGGTGGTGCCCGGTCTTGCATAATAGATGGCTTGTAGTGATACTGCTGCTGGCCAGGCTATAGTAATGTGAGATTAGCAGCATTGGGGCTCCTGGTTAGGTGTCTCGCGAGGTACGGGAGGAGCGTGCGTCCTTATCTCGCGAGCGCTGTCCAGCAGCAGCAGCAGCGAAGCCAATGTGCAGTACGGTAACATTACCTGAGGTTCCTCGAGACCTCGGGGGGGTTGGAAACTATTTGCTCCATTTGTAACTGGCCCAGTATCATCCATATCCAGGAGATTTGGAGACCCCGTAGAATCCTTTCTCCAGGACTTCCCCACCAAGTCAGAGGTATCCGGTTCCGCTCTCTTCGTTTTTTCCCTCTCACTTCCGCCCATCCCGTGCCCAGCCTTCCAGGTATGATATGATATGATATGCTTCCTTATTGGTAGGAGGGTATATTGCAGAAGAATGAAAGGATTACAACAGATCTGATTAGATCTCCTCGTTCGCCACACCTAGCTTTCAATCGCGCACTGCATATGTACGATATATGCCAAATCATACTCATCAAGCCCTTAGGGCCCAAGCCTCCAGAAACCCCATGCCAGTGCTAAAAAGTCCAAAGCGCAAACTAAATATTGAACCGAGTGAGAATCTATGACAACACTTCCCACCCAAAAATATTCAAGTATGATACGGTTCAAGACGCCTATAGTGTGCTCCAAGGGGATTGTGGTGGGGGACACTCGGCATTCAGTTACAAATTCCGAAGAAAAAAAAAGTCTATGTCCAATTCCCACAACTGTGCATGGCTTTTTTCATCATTCTCAAGTCACACTTGATAGTGCAAAATGGTCGGAGCCAATTTATCTCATGATTATTCTTCAGAATAAAAGATGAAAGCAGACTACTGATAACATAGAACAATTGCAGAAGAACGAGACAACCCATGATCTACATAGTACACTACTGCTTTGTCGTTTTTGTTCTTTCCCATATCATACTATACCTTGCCATAAAACTGTGGTTCGGTAATTATTATGGAAACTATCATACTTGTATTGTGCAATTAGGAAATGGGAATAGGTTCTCCCACATTTGGTGCCGGGGGGTCCCATGTCGAAATTGCCCTGGTGCGTACTATGGACGTCTTGAATCAGAACTCTTGCAGTGGACGCTTCAGCGCTGATATTTACACAGAGATTTAAGGCTGAGACAACAAGCCCGCTGTCAATACTTTATCCCAAAAGCCTTGGTCAGAGTGCGCCACGTTAAACATTCTCTCACTTGATCCCGAGGTCGCCTCTACAATATCGCGTGCACAAACTCCGGTTCACTAGTATGAGCCCACGACAATCCGGATCTTCATTACCCCCTGTTTGCTCTCGGAATAATTCTTTTGTGAGTTCTGCTACAGCATCTCAAGCTTACCGTGCGCCTAGGCCTAAGTCCCTATCAGGTTTCACCGGGATTGTCATGCCGGCCATTTTCAAGATCTAGATCTACAGAGGGCACCTGAGACCCCACGAAACTAAAGCTTAGACTATGGTACGATAGCACCCAAATCTTCAAATCCAGCTCCAAAACCTCTCCACGCCCTATAGCCTGTGAAACACTCTTTTTGATAGGAAAATACCATAGAGAATCACTCGAAGGGCAAATACCTAGCCTTAGAGGTTCCAATATTCTAGGGTTGAAAACCAGGGTTCGGGCCAAGTTTAAAAATTTGATAGGGTCCCTCTTGAATACCTTACAGCCCGGAAGAAGGTCCATAAAACCAAGCTATTTTCCCGCAGCCTACCAACCAATTTCCAACTTCACACATATTACCTACCCCCCCACACCAAACGTCAAAAAGAAAAAGATGGCACTTAACAACACTTCACAAGATGCTAAAAGAAACTACGATGATTCGGAAAGCGCCGACGAGGATCAGAGAAGCGAGAGTCCGAAGGTCCCTGTGCGCGGAAGAGGCGCTTGGAAGCCGACCCCAGAGCCACTTCTGCCGTCTCAGGTTATGACTTTGAAGCTCGAGGCGCCGAAGGAGATTGAGATTATGAGGTTTGGAGTGCCTTGTTTCGGGCCAAGGGGTGATGGTGAAGAGAGTGATGGGGAGGAAGGCAGTGAAAGCGGGTTTGGTTCGGGAGAGCTCAAGATAACCGCTGAGCTACCTATGAGGAAGGAGCTGTCAGATGCATCGATCGAAACAAAGACTCGAAAGGGGGTGCTGTTGGCTGAGAAAGATACCCAGAAGTTGGGCGAGGCATGCGATTTGGAGCACCCAAAGGATGCGGAAGAGCCAGAGGGTGAACAGGGGCCGAAAGATCAAGAGGAACAAAAGGAGGCACAGAAGCCAAAAAGACCAGGGGAGCCAACAGAAGATAGCGCCGAGGTGGAGGTGCGAAGGGTGGAAGAGAATGCGGTGGAGAAGATGAGATCGAAGTTAGAGCAAATCTCAGATTACAAACCGCGGAAAAATATTTACCAAAGCCCGACAACGGAAAGAAAGCCCTTTCTGATGAAGAAGCAGAGCGAGCTCCCGGCGCGCGTCCAGGCACCAAAGGTTCGGGTTCGTGAACTCTCTGACGGCCCTAGAACTCCGACAATCGCTTCCAAACTCAAGTGGGTGACTCGACGACCGCCACGTCCAACCACCCCTGAGAAGAAACGGCAAACAACCCCGCGATCGACACAGTCGTGTTCAAAGTCTGTGATCTCCCCAGGCAGTAGGGGAAGTACCCCAACTCCAATTCTTCGAGCTTCGAGAACGGTAAGGAGTCAGACCCCAACTGGGCGATTTGTATCCCCACCACCAGAATCTTCATTCAGAAGACCCTCCTCAGCCTTCGAGCTAGAGCGTGGAGCAAAGCCCTCCCTATCGCAGGGTTCAAGCTCCAGACGAAGTGCTCCAGGACCCCTTATTCCAATAGTACCTCAAGAACACATTCTCCGCCTAGCTAGCGTCTTGGAGTGTGATCCTGAGATAGCGGTTGAGGATATGTTTCCCCCGCCTGTACCCGAAGTTGTATCCAAGATAGAGGTCTGGAACAACAGGATGAGAAAGGAGGAGCTGTGTCCGAGTTGTCGAAAGTGTGTGGTAAAGTTTGAGTTTGTTTGTGGGGATATGATCTGTGGAGGATGTTACGACGGACTTTTAAGGGAGAGCGGTGGGGGAAATATGAGGTGCATTGCTTGCCGGGCGATTGTTGGGTAGACTCAAGGTAAATTGCCTCAGAATTCTATCTGGGTTTGCCCTCGGGGGGGGTTCCTTTGTAGTCTGGTTGCTTGGGATGATAATTTTACTATTGACTGAATGAGATGACTTTTTGGGGGAGTTTTCGCTTTTTAGTTCAATACTTTCATTTGATTTCCTTGAGGTTATAAAGGCTCTGGAACATCCTGGGCATCCATTTCAATTCCAATTTCTTATGTTGTATGTATTTTTGTTGGTCTACTTTATTGTACTTCTGAAATGTTAACGATCTACACCGAAAGTGCCCATTTAAGTTCAGCTTTGTTATGGCCAAAAGTTTAGTTGGACGTCAGCTCAAGAGGCCAATAATTTGCTCTAAATTAGCTTCCTGAGTAAGAGGATAGTTGGGTATTTTCCTTCAGTTAGCCAGCTCCAAAATATCCTCATAAAATACAATTGGAGGAGGAATTCTCTGAACCATGCCAAAGACAAGTGGTCGGGAGGTGGTCCTCAGGTGGACGAGTGAGAAACTATGATGCACCCACTGGCCTATTTATTTGATGTCGCCAGTGTTGGACGGAAGTGTTTCTTGGCTGCTCACCACACATTTCCCCTATGGCAACGACTTCACAACCCTAACCCTCTTGGCATATCAACTACTCCGACGCCTCAATGTTTGACTACTGGTTAGCCCTCCACATCAAACACCATATGCGACATCTGCGACGATACCTGCGACAACTCCATATTAGGGCGTTACCCCTATCATATGGAAATACTGAATGTCCTCGGCTAGAGTATACCCTCGGTCGAATTCACTTATCCTCAGCCGAAGCGGTACAATGGGCAATAGTGAGACTGAATGTGATAGAGAACACGGCATACGCTGGAAGTATGTGGAAGCAGATCAGTATGATCTCGGGGAGGATAAAAGGCAGCTTGTTTTCCCTTGTTAGTTGTTTTCGTTCGTTATCCAATCTGTCTCTCTTTCCTCCGTTACTCTCATTTGGGTCATAGCAGT